TCTATCAAGTGAGCCAGAACCACACTTGAGAATGATCAGGAACTACCTTGGCTCAGCTAGTGCATGCGGATAGATAACTGTCATACCCTAGGAATTGCGTAGAAGACATCATGGGTGAATCCAAGTGAGGAAACGACAACTGAAACGGTAGTGATCGGTCGTTGACCTAAGTTACGTAGGGCCAAATATGGAGAACCTTTGAAGGAGTTACATGGGTAGTGGGCATTGTTGAATGTAGATTTTACTATTATTTTTAATCGTCTGGTGACAGTTTGTGAAACAATCTCTACCATGCAATAAAGTATAATGAGGGCTTTCTTTTCGTTGCAATCCTGTTTGCAAGTAGCCGGCCTTTTTAGGATCGTGCGTGGTTGAATGAACCGATTACGATCGTCACTCTTGTTGAGTTTGTTTGAGATAAACTTTAGTTCATCTTGCCATGCTTTTTGTGTGTACGTTCTCTGCGTTCTTCAAATAACACGCACCTTTAGATTTCTACTCAGTATTTTTGAAGTAAAACTGACGTAAAACGAATTTATATAGATCCATCACAAATTCTGTTCAACAATCATCTATCAAAAGTGGTAAAACTTGACGACCTTTGGCTTGGTATGAATCATCTGGTCTTATTCATTCAGGCAGCACACTGCCTGTGTTCCTCCATTGGCTGAGGCATTTCCGTATCTCGGTGCTTTCTCCTTCATTCCGGAGCGTTTTGTCATTTGCTTCTGATCTGGTAATTTCGTCCTCTTTAGAGACCATAAGTCATAGTTTACCATTGTAATCTTTCTTATCCATGATCACAATCTCGGTGTTTCTATCCAGCTTAATCAAGACTGTGTTTGTTACGGGCCATTTTCGCGTAGCGTTTCAGCTTGCTGTATCTGGACCGACCCGGTCAAGTGCGTTTGCGTTCTTTTATACACTCAACATGAACTAGGCTGGTTCGAGTTGAAAGTTGCAATACTGTTGATTAACTTGGACATTGGATTTCACGTGCGCCTGGTCCCTCAAATAAATGAACTCATACTAATTGATTCCTCGAAAAATGAAATCAGGGGATGGATGAAATCTGGTCTGGCGTTTCGCGTAGACTACAAGCATACTGGGGAAACTGTGCTGCAGGGCCTGTTTGTCCAACGTCCCTCTCAAGTAGTATAGTGTCTGCTTTTAAATGAATTAGAGTTACACATATAAATGATGTTGAATCGTTTGACGTTTCATTGTTAGGTTTCACGAGTAATCTAATAAATTTGGCCCAACTATCTTACAAAACATAGTTCATCGGAGAAAGCGTTGTTTTCACTTTGCATTGAATGGAGTGCTTCAGGTTTGTGCAACTACTGAAGTACTAATTTCGATTTTTTGGGCAGTATCTATTTTCTTTAAAGAAATTGTAAATATGTCAGTAGTAAATAAAATGAATATTAAATCATTCGGGATGGAAACCGTACCTGCGATTTATGATCAATTTGGTTCAGCTACTCACTCCGTGATTCCCCGAGGTTACTACCTCAAAACTTGGTGCACGTCAATTCCGTCTCACTTTAAGTCACCACCGTTCAATTTGGTTCACTGTATTCCCACGTCAATTTAAATGACGATACATTAGGACGCGTAGTTAAGCCCATCGCTATAGCGAAGCTTTTGCGCCCGACTGGGATTGTAGAAATGATTGCGAAATTGCCAGTCGTTATTCCCGGGATTTCCATTCACCCGTTTTCTCTCTCGTTGAAGGTTTGATCATTGATTGATATATTTGTTTCGATTACTGAATTGCGGACGACGTTTCCAATGGAACCGGGAACGGAGGATTCTGTTTGGTGACGAATTTCTGCCACACGATAAAGCCAAATAACATCTGCACGGTTGTATACACGATGACCACAAATGACCAGTATTGGGTCTTCTCAGACAAATCTAGCGTAAGTGGAAAATTTGAAATGCCGATTTGTCCCAAACATTTGGTAAAAAGAGACCTAAATCTGTGTGTTGTAAGAAGAAATGAAGAAAGATGGATTGTTAAAGCAACGAATGATCAAGTGAATGGAAACGTTAATCAAAAATATGCAGACCGAACTTTGCTTTGTCTTCTATAGATCAAATGCAGCCGTATGTTTTGAACCGGGGACAAAACTTTTGACACACACGAACTTTGGTGTTGTCTCACAATAATTGGGAGCATAAAACTTAATTTAATGACATGTTCCCATTATTATTGTCAGAACGGGAGAAGTGCAGTTGTTATCTTTTATAACCTTTTTCCTTTTATCGAAAACGTAGGGGGAAAACGAACAATATTAAGGTTGTGATGTATGTGTGTATGAGGAAGTCAGTCCGCCGTAGGGGGGTTCGACCACTTAATCTCTGGGTTCACAAATGAGTGACTTTAGCTGTTTGACTTCTATCACCTGTGTATCTTCACGTTATTGCTTAGATGGTTTTACTTAAATGACAGGAATATGAAATCATGAGAGAACATACTATCATAAACGATCAATGGTTTTCAATGATTCATATCGTAGCCTGTACAATCAGTCAATCAACATGGTTGACTAGGGGTTGAACAGTGATGTCCAGGCTGGCTTCGACACAGCAGAAAAGGTGTCATAGAAAGTGCTATTTTTGCTTACTTGTCAGACGCAGGTCACCAAGTGGCGCCCGAATCAGCCTTTATAGTTACATACTGAACAGCAACTCTCATCTAAATAGTTGGGTCTCAACAGACTAAGCACTGTAGTAGTAATCGGCATTCGTTTGTTTACACCCGTTTTATATACTCAAAGAAGGTTCGCTCATTCAATCCAATTATCATGATTGCAGATACATCGCGAGAAATGCGAGAAATTACAACCTGATTGCATTGTTGTGGAATATGACCCAACAATCTCTCATTCTTCCCATACCAACCAATCACCGGGACCTTTGACTGATCAAAAGTCTAACATTCTAATATACCACTTCCTTGGATGATCCATACAGGCTAGTATAGGAACCCAGGAAAATAACTGATAGCATATGAATGCCAGTTGTAATGTTCTCATTGGCATACTTGGGAAAATGACATCATTGAATTCATCTATGACGACGATGAAATTGGTCTCATTTCCCATCTACCTTTCCATCGTTGTCTTTGTCACAAATCTCAGTCTCTTCCCACATCACGTGTTTGAGCAATACACGAAAATAAAACGCATGGCCATTTTGAAGATGATGAAATCATCATTTGCTTGAAGTCCTGGGAATCGTATGAAGTTTACTCGTTCTGCAAATCTCTAGGCCTAATCGAGACTCATACAAACGTGGAACTTCACCCCACATCTTTCAAATGAAGACAGTATTCCACCAAATGCACCAGATGCCCATCAGGCTATTCTTATAGCCGTGAAATCACATTGCTGCTCTCCAAGACGGTTACGTCACTTACCGGGTTATTAGTTTAAATCACATTTGAATGAAATAGCTATTATTCGGGAACTTGCGTAAATCATGTGCTCTCAGATAGAAAATAAATATCCATCCATGTTTGTCGAATTTTTCATCAACCATTTTGTTTTGGATTCTATCTATGCATCCAGGATAGGGTATTTCGAGCGAACACACCCACAGACATAACCAATGTTTGTCCTGTGGTCCGAGGCTCTTGAGGCTCCCGTGCGTACGTGAGTGCGTGCGTGTGTCCGAATGGGGAGTATAACGCACACACAGACAAGAGTGCATACGCGCAAACAGGTAAATGGTCATCGTTCAAGTTTGACCCCTACCAACTCACATACAATTAAACAAACACACATGCATACAGGCTAATTCCGCGAAACCACACATTTTGGTTTTAAAAACTGAAAAAGGAAATCTCAACTCTTGATGAAAAATGATCATCCACAAGCCGATCCCCGAGTTCCGTATCTTCGTCATTAAGCATACATACACGCACAAACGCACACACAAACACACTACGTTCGTCCGCCCACACGAACACATGTGAGCACACACACGTACACGCGCACACACGTCACTCGGAGCTTCTGTTCTCAATGCGTGGGTTCCACACTATGGACGGGGCTATGGGATGTGATTCGATGTGATGCGCTGCGAACTCGCTGTTTGCTTGTCCCTTCGGATCCCGTGGTGACCAATCGTAGTTCAACCGGTTGGAAACAAATCCTTTATAAATGGTCTCTACCCAAACAGTGGACATGGTCTTGACAGCTTCTGTGTGTNGTGTGTTCGTTTCGGGAATCAGCAAAGTAAGTCAGTCCTGCTTGAAGATGATCGGATTTGTCCTTACTGTGTATTTATTTTGAGGATTTAAGATAGCATTTACTTAACTGTTGCTTGTGGTCTATTTCTTGGATGTGAATCGAAGCGCACTGAATGATGGAACTCTCGAATGTTTAAGTTGTTGCTATTCAAGGTTTGGAAGGAGACATGTATGTAAGTATATCAGTCACATTCCGGACACACGTCATAGGTCAGAACTAACATTAGTGAATTGTATTGACAGAGTACACGAAGCATATTTTTAATTGTTGCTGAACGAGTTGTTTTTCGCAAACCAAGATCGTAGTTGTCCGCTCTGTCACAACTCTCCAACCCTGCATGCTTATTGGTTGGATGAAACGTTGGCTCTGGGTTGCTCAAGCGAATTCTCCCCACCCCCTAGTGAAGTTGTAATTGTATAACTTCAAGAAAAATCCTTCTTTGTCTAGAGGATGGCTTTTACATATAGTCTTTGCCTACCGTTTTGGCTAAGAACAATCAACACGAGTAGCATTATGCATTTGTTTTCTGTCTGAAGTAAATAAAATGATTACAAAACGTGGGTGACACATTCAACGAAGGGTTTGCAAATAATGATTCTCAATTCTCTGATAAATCTCAATGATTCAGTGCATGGAACCCCGGTTCCATGGTTTCCTAAACGTTTTTCCATTTTGTCTATCCACTCCTCTGATCTAAATCCTTTTTGTCTATCGTAGACGTTTCGTGATCCGTATAGGATGACTCGATCAAACACTATTGGACAAGTGATTTGCACTCTGTTGCTCTTGGTCAGCTTGGAACAAAGTCTGGTCGTTGCCGTACCCCGTCGATTAGATCCTCTGGACCGACGCATATATTACGTGGCTGCGGAACCCGAATCCCCTGATTTCGACTGGGACCTACCGGAGTTGGCGCATGCCTCGTACAAACGCTCGCACTATATGAGTCAACGTTTGGGCAAGTAAGGCATTCGCGTAAAGTCGGCCTCAGTCCATCAATCGACCACTCAAGCACACACACGCACACATTTAATCATTCAAACTGTCGACCAGATAGACGGCTGAAGACGCCAGAGCATTCAAACTTTGTTGATTGCAGAATTGTTTAAGAAATGAAAAAAATACAAATTTCCCCATAAAAGAATTTCATTTTATTCTTCATGAGAAAATAATATTTGCATTATGTTGGACAGTATCGTATTTGTGCATTTTGAACATTCTTGATAAACAATATATCACTGAGGACTTGTTCTCAAGTACGAATCAGCGCACTGGGGCGATTTGAGTGAGTAACTGTGGCTTTACTATTAGGAAAAGCCAGCTTGGACGCAAGGAACATGGGTCTCAATCCTTCATATATATGTATACAGGTGGCAATGGGTTTATTTTGCTGGTGCCAACAAGTAACTCAGCATGGGGTGAAAGTTGATCTAGTACGTCAGTTTTCTAATGAATTTCGTTTTACCCGTCAAAAGAAGTAAATATTTATTCCGCCTGACTAGTTAGAACGGAATTAATTACCGAGTACCTTGTTATTGGTCACCTGCACACACCAATCTGAATATCCCAAAAGGTTTTGCACTGATAAGGGAGGTTTTTGGTAACCGTTACTCTTCAAATACATTTGCGGAAGTCATATTTTTCACAGATGAAGGTTTGTTTATCTTCTCGCTTGGGGTTTGTGGTAGAAAACCGTTGGATCTAATTAAATATATTATCTTTTCACATTTATGCAGTCCGGGAAGGGATCAAGTCCAATGATAAAATTTGTTCAGTGAACATGCGACAGCTGGGAATTTAGTTTACGTTTTCTACTGTGACATTTTATTTTTCAACCGATGCACAAGCAACTATCGTCAAAATCACGAAATCGTACATTTTAATGGCATAAGGCTAATAGAAGCAAAGACATAAGTGGGTATTATACAAGATATGTCGCCTCTGACTTGAGGCTATTTCATGTTCGATCGCGTGAATGAGTCTAGAAGAATGAGATATTGAAAGGAACAAATATAATGAAAATCAGAATGTTGCACGAGTTCGGTCAATGATTGTATATATATATATATATAGGAAGTGAAGTAGAAACTGTAATCAGTGCGCGATCGGAAGCTGTAGATCGGATTCCGGTGGACTTGAAATGCTCGAGGAATGAACAGATTCCGAGTAAAACTGCTGAAGTGGATGGGTAAATGACACACTGCTACTGTTCAAATACTATAGCACCTCACAGATTTCAGTGTGTGTATCGTTGTACTTGTTTCCATGTCCCTCCTTGTGTGTGTCTTTATGCCCCAAGCGGGAGCACCATATCAGTACAAAAAACCATGAACCCTGTCTATGTGAGTTCATATGCTTTAAGAGCAGAATCGCATATCTAAATGACTCCTATCCGGAAGCGCTTTCCTGTACAATTCATCTCACACTGGGGACACCGACACAATTATTGCAAACTGCTGATGAGTCCCAACATGAATGGAATGATTATCCAGTACCTTTTGTTGATCTTCAACGTACTATGTAAAAGTAAATTAGCAAATTTCGTTAAAGCATCGGAATTATGGGCGTGAGTAGCTTCCTTGCGGGTCTTAGGGCCCATTTTTGGAGTAATCCTAAATGAATCCTATCTTCATTCCGTTGCACAATCAGCCTCCGCTTTAAGTTGAGCATGCTTAGGCCAGTAAAAATCACATTCACATCACAGCTGTTTGACGTTCATGGTTCTTGTAGCCGGAAATCGCGTCACACTGCTAGTATGGATATCCAGTGTGATTTGTGGTTGATAAGCATTCAGTCGAAGAATGTTAAGATTTAGTTAAATTAGGAGTGTTTTTTATGCAAACAATACTCAACCTAGATTCCTTTTTAACACTTCAGCACTGGACGACAGGACCATCTTAACTAGTTAAATCCATTTGTCCCGGGGTTTTGATGAGGGGGGAGTAAAACCGGATTACTTTGGTGCCTGGATTTTGGAAATACATACGTCAAGCTCAGCCATCAGCTAAACTCAATATTTTAAGCTCTGGTAAACGTTTTCGAATAACCAAACCACTTCGCTCATAAGGTTAGGTAAATTGAAAATGTCTTTCGAACTCTGTCGGGGCAAAAACGGAAGTCGGGTTTGTGTACCATTTTACTGGCGAGTACGAAATCGTAGCAAATATGCGAGATTCTTTATGACCAACGTTTGATGCATCATTCAAATTTATTGTTCAACTAACAACTGTTGACCGATCAACGATTTTTGTACAAATTCCGTTGAATTAACAGACACTGAGGTCTCTGTGTTTTGAGGGGCAGATACAAGCTTTTCGATCACCTATCTTGTGCCGCCTGATCTCCAAAACGAACATAGCAGCTAATCAAAGCTATCCATTGATCAGTGATGATGGAGTAACCTCTTGTCTACCCATAATGTTACTGGTGCTCTGATCATCGTTCAAACTGAACACTAAAGAGCTAAAAATATCAAACGAAATCCTACCCGGTATAAAGTTTTTCTTTCCAAGTCCAATACAGGTATACGTATACATATATATTTATATATAATCAAAGCATTTCACTGATTTTGGTTGGCTTGTTCTCAATCATTCAAAAGCAGTGCCTCAGTTTCCTTCTAACAGGCTACAGAAGTAGTCATGGATGCAGAAGATGCTGCTAATCTCCAATGAAAACCCCGTCTTGACTAAAAGCAGGAACATCGCTTCAAGTTGTTCCTCGCGTGAGTTGAATTACATTAATTTCTTCAATATATTACCAAATGCATATCTCATCGTATTACCATCATCGACTACCGTAAACGTAGTTTCTGACGCATTAGGTGTGTGTTATTGCAAAGAGAGCTTGCCTTTCACAATCAGTCTGGATGAAATTTCCGTTTACTCCAACCAGTGGATTTTCATTTGACTCACAGTTACTTATGATTGATGGTGTGAAATAAATGTCATGTTATGTCTGCCCTTAGTCAAATGCCAATTAAAATATGGTCTAACATGTTTGGGTTAGTACACCTAAACCAGCAAGGTAAACTTGACTTCGTGGGAGACTTTATTTTCAGATTAACAGATAGTGTGCCGTGTTTTTCTCGTTGCTATCGGACGAAAACAAAATAACTGACCCTCTATGAACGCGACCTACGAAAGAAATTGTATCACTATTGCTGGTCAGCCCCGGCTTGAGGTGGTTGGCGTATTGGTAGCACACACACCTTCCATGTGGTGTATCCGGAGCTCAATCCTCAGACGGGATGGTGAATATGAATTATTGATTTGCACTAATGGGAACGAAACTCAAGCCTAATGCTTCCCGAAAGTACGATTTACTGCATGAATTGAAGCTTGTGAGTGAAGATGAAGCCTTTAGGATAGTCTGATAAAATCGGTAACCTATGAATGTCCAAACTTTTAAGCATCTTGGCCATCAAAACGCAATTTTACGATTAGGTTGAAGTCCTAGAACCAACTTCAGCAAAACTTTCCAGTCAGTATAAACATTTTTTGTCAAAAATTATCCAGAGGATTCCCTGACGTTTATACCTATATCGTTCGTAAAAAGCCCTAACAACACGGTAAACATTTGTTCCTCTCATATTGGTCCTGTTGAGGTGAATAGTTGGATTCGCGGTACCGCATTGTTTGGTCCTTTTGCACAAATTTTACCCTTTAACATTAAAATGAAACTTGTACATAAGCTTTATTTTCCCGGGGATCGGGCAATGTGCTAATATTCTGGGCGACTCTAAGTTCATGTACATGACAAGGAATCAATTCAAAATGGATCTGCTTTACATTTGGTAGTACAGATGTACGTTCGGCAAGAAAGAAGATTGTGAAATGTGAAAATGGAATGAAATCAAATGAAATCAAAAATGAAAATGAAATATCTTTCTACATCTTTTTTTATTTATTGAATAAAAAACCTACAGTTAACATTCAGGAAGGGGGTACGGCAATACAAAGGCTGCATGGGGAAATATAGAAATGGGGACGGTGGGTGGCGGTGGAGCAGTTCGAACCCGGGACGTCTGGGTGATCTAAACACTTGGCCACCACCGAGCGAGAAGGATGCCGAAATCGATCGTGTACTCCTGGGGATTTTGGTCCAGTTACTCCTTCACTACTTATTATGGAACCGTTCTTTTTTGATCTCCACGAATTGCACTGCCAAGAAGCCCACTGATTCCCCAAGTGTGCAGTGTACATGTATTTTGCATGCAAATGCATGTGTGATACCTGACTGCTGATTCGGACTCAATGAGAATTAGCAACGATAACCGAACCGGGACCTGGACGGAGAGATTTCGCTTAGGAAGACAAAACNCCTAATACACCGTCAGTGGTCAACATTTTGAGCAAATATGTACGGTGAGTATAGTCGTTATGTTATGACTTCGACAAGCATTTAACACTGGGGCACGGTCGAAATGCATTTTCCCAGTACTAAAAGAATATTATGATACAACAATGACGGGTTCTACCGCGTACAAAATGTCTGCCGCAGTGATTTTTTGTAGGTCATCACACAATAATATCAATCATAAGCAGCGGTTGACTGGTGCACAGTGTGTGAGAGTCAAGGATGCGCGATGGAAACGCCAGTGCCATGAAAATGAGATTCAATTTAAAAATTATATTTTCCCTGTTACTTTTTAAATTGACAATTACCAAAATCTTGAGTTTCGTCTGTGTTTCGGTGAATTTTATTTTCTTTATTTTTGGCTGGTAACTATTTCTGGTAATTCCCAATGCAGTCCAAATAGCTCTGCTCCGCCGAAAATCAGACGAAAAAACCTGTTTAGAACGACCATTAGTTGTAGCTCGAAGTTGATTTATCTGTCGGATTGAGTGGTTCCCCGATTGCGCAACTGGTGTGATAATTTAAGTGCATTGGTTTGACGAGGGTTGACGAATTTCCCCTTGATTACATCGTATCTGATTTCATTCCGATCAAGCTTGCATCGTTGA